ACTCTCAAGTTGTGTAGACGAGACCAACGACTGTCCGGCATCACCGCCATCATCTGTCGAGGCACTGCTGTCCGTGTTGCTGTCATGTCTCTGGACCGAGCGAGAAAGAGAATGTGATTGTGAAGGTGTCTCGTCGACCAACCCGATTCTTTCCAACGATGCAATTGATGCTACTGATGCTACTGCCTTCCCCTTTGCCTTTGCACGTTGGGGGGACGAGTGTGACCATTGGGTGTCGGTAGTTCCTCGAGCAGTTTGACTCCTACCATGTTGTAATCGAGGGGGATTTTCCACCCGTTGGGGTTGTGCTTCTTCTTCTTCTTCTATTGCCTCGGTGATAAAACGTGAAGGACACTGAGGATCTCCCGCCTCATCAAGTAAAAGATCCTCTTGGTTCTCTGCTGCTTCAATCCAATCTAACATTGGCTCTGAATCTTCGTTGTAGAATTGGAGGTCAATGGGATCAATATCTGATTCCTCTGGCTCCTTATCCAACTCAGCACATCGTAATTTTAACCGCATGTTATAATGGACATATACTAGTTTCTCTAACCGTCTGTAGGAGAGTTTGTTGCGGACCTTCGTATGAATCAATGCAAACGTTGACCAATTACGTTCGCAACCACTAGATGTTGCTGTTTGTGAAAGTACACGAACGACAACCTTCCTTAAATGTGGTGCGTCGCCTCTAAATTGTAGCCACCACTCGACTGCAAAAAGATATAAATAAGATTTTATTAGCATAACAAATAATTAACATTAAATATAATTGATAATCAATATGCATAACTTTTCCTTACCAGGATCCATAGTGTAACGACACGATACAGCTACAACGTTGGAGAATGAACCAACTGTTTCTCGAAATAATCGACCCTCCATAAGAGCATCGGCTGCCTCGGTAGTGTTTGGCAAGAACCGATATATAACATTTTGTAGTGTCGTTAGGAAATTATTTTGCGTTCCGAGAGCATATCGATATTAAATTGCCGGGTTTAGATAATACGTTGCAAAACATAATTTTGTTAGTATGATTTTTTATTATCTAAATAATAATAAATTAAATTATTCTGAATATGAATTTACCTGCATTATGGATATCTTGATCCATATGAACTTCGGTCCGATGATCAATGATTCGTACGTATTGGTCGGCCTTAAAATCATCTTTGAATGCTTTCCTAACCTCCTCTCTTGCTGAAATCAGCATATATTTAAGATACGGCATCCGTGGACGCTTGTCCATATCGACCTTACGGAGGACAATATAAAGTGGTTCCACACCTTTAATGATTTCTGCTATAGTCTCTCAAAATCTAGAGGAAAGAATGGCTTTTTTTGTCTTCTTTCCATCGCTCAATTTCGAATATCTTGATTCAGACCACTCTTGTGAGCTAGCCATTACCTGCCATGCCTTTTTTGCTGTAATGACTTTAATGCAATAAAATTGGTAGCAAACCGAGTAATTCCAGGTCGAAGTATCTCACCGTTTACATACTTTTGCATTAATGCGTGGACCCAATGATGATTATATATAAACTTTGTAATTGATTGTGCTCGAGCTACGTAATTCTTGACCGAATTCAACTCACCAATATCCTTCAGCATTAGATCTATGCAGTGAGCTGCACATGGAGTCCAAAACAAAGTTTTTCTTTTTTCTATCAATTGCAAATCGACCTTTTTGAAATTCGCTCTATTGTCGGTTATTATTTGGAT